GATTCACATTACTCCCATCTTGATCAAATCGCTCCAATCGCAAAGTCTGACATCGGCCACTATCAAGCAGAAGTGGCGGAACACCTTGCAGTATTGATCGGGCACTTGTGATTTCCGTGACCCGTCGCGTGAATCGCGTGAATCGCGCAAATCGCGAAAATCAGCGAAACCTGCGACGGATCGCGGACTCCGACACCAGCCTTACTTTCCGTCCGTCATGCAGCCCAAGTGTGGAGTGGATTAGATCGGTCGTGCAGCTGCATCGAACCGTAAGCGGAATGCAAACAATCACAAAGTACAACGCATCCTCAGGGTAGAATTGAAGGGAAGGGACGCGTTCCCTGGGGGAAGATAGCATAGGTCCTCAGGTAAGGGTGATAAAGGATCCGCTAAAGTGCTAACCATTGATTTTGTCGCGCTGCTCAAGTCGTTGGCATCTACCTCGGCTTTCAACGACGCCAAACGGCAGATCGGTATAGGGGGCATGTGGTTAAATAGGGAGTGGATGAGCCATCTTATCGCTCAAGTGACGAAGGAAAACTAGGGAGTGGGAGTTTAGCATAGGTAATGCCCAGGTAACGCTCTTTCGTGCGTGCTTTCGCAGTATTCCGACCGTAAATTAGTACTTTGTTTCAATTTTGTTGCGTTGCAGGTGATGGTCTCGCGATCTGACCAACTGGTGCCGTGCCGCGCATGTGGGAAGACGATGGTTCGAAAAAACTTGACCGATCATCTGCGAAATGTTCACTTGTTTACGAATGAGCAGGTTAACCAACTGAAAAGTGACACGAAACGGAGAAGTAGAATTGCAATATCTTGCCCCATATGCGGTGAATCTTTCTTCAATCAATTTGCCTTGGCAAGGCATTGCCACAGATTGCATAGGAGCGATGGGGATTCGCAAGACTACACTCTCTTCACTGTGGTTTGCGATTCGCATGCAGATTTTGAGGTGAGGATCGGAGTAAACTTCTCATTATCAAGAAGGGAAAATCTATTTTTAGAAATGGCTAGCGGAGCAGTGCGAACGGACGTGCACAAGTTTTGTTCGTCGATCGAATCGGGCATTATCCTGGAGGAGGAATGTCATACAACTTGAGGTTTCTTTTAAACAGTTCTTTATGAGGGGCGGGTGTGCGTTTAAGAAGCCCGTCAAACTTAAGGTTGGTGTCATGATCTTAGGCTGGTGTCAGAGTCCGCGATCCGTCGCAGGTTTCGCTGATTTTCGCGATTTGCGCGATTCACGCGATTTGCGCGATTTGCGCGATTTGCGCGATTCACGCGACGGGTCACGGAAATCACAAGTGCCCGATCAATACTGCAAGGTGTTCTCCAATCCCGCCGCCACTTCTGCTTGATAGTGATGGCTGAATGACGACTGCTCATGATTCTACTGCTTTCTTATTCGGTGTTCCAAATGTTCACACACTAGCAATTTTTGCGATCCACCGCGAAAATCGC